AGGAAAGAGGCAGGCACTGGGTTTTATTATTTTCTGTGCATTATACTACCTATATGTACGTATTTAACCTCTCTGAAACCTCTGTTTCCTCATCTGTAAAATAGGAATGATAATGCTCACTTGCCAAGACTGCAGTAAAAATTAAGTTAACCAAGCCTATTTCTGGTAAATTCCTTTTTGGAGTCACAGTATTTTCATCTGTTGAAAGGGCTAAGAATATCTTTCTTCAGGGTTGCTGCAAGGATCAAATACACTATTGCACTCATCGAGTCTGTAGATTCTAAAGTGTTGTTCAATGCCATCTTTCAGTATAACCTGAGTTTTTGTTTCCTATTGCACCACAAGCTGCTATAGGCTGTTCACTCATCCCACTGATTCCTGCCTTCCCAGCAAATGTCAAATCACAATATCAATACAAACCATTTTAAAGACAGACTGCAGAGAATAATTAGGACTTAATGTCTAGAAATGATTTGGATAGAACTTTGCAAAGCCTGTCATTCCTTTTGAGACTCGATTTCAGAAATGAAAAGTTTCCTTGCCTCTTATGCACACCAACAATGCAAAAGCAAATTCAGAACTCCTGGACGCCTGAGTGGCTCTATAATTAGATAAAATGTACAATCTTATGTTATAATGTTTACATGTAAAGAAATAAATGAATGCTGAGGAACTGCCGCAGAGATTTCCAGAGAAATTTAATATACAGTGCTAATACCTTTGCTTAAAAAGCTATTCTTGTAATTAATACCCTTGCCATAGAACTTTAATGTGCCTTTGATATCCTGAATTTTATGATGAATAGAGAAAGAGAACTAACATTTCTTTAAATGTGTATTATACTACTTTATGACATTGTTTAATCTCAGAGCCTCCTTTAAAACGTAGGCTTAAAAAAATCCCGGTTTTACAGGTTAAAAAGTAATTATCAGAGGAATCAATTACCTTGCCCATGACCGCACTACTAGTTATGCTTCAGAACTATAGGTTCAAACATTTAAGGCTTTGCTCTTGCCACTGGAGCACACTGCCTGTTTTTCACCTCCCTTTCCCTTTTACAGCAAACCAAGAAGAAAGTCATTTAAAACTGTGTCAGGCACTCAGGTGAGTTCTGTGTGCAAATCCTCCCACACAGCCCTGCAGATACCCTGATGAACTCCCCATCATGCCAAAGATTACACAAAAGTTCAATCACTAAATGGGAAAAAAAAAAGCCATCGATTTTACAAATTTCCAAACAATTGCCCATGTAGCCTATGCAAAACTATGATAAAAGCTGGTATACAGAATGTGGCTAAAGTCAAGAGACCACATGGCCTCCATCCTGAATCTCTTCTCTGCTGGCCTTCAGATCCCACCATTAAACTCTGGTGTGAGATCTGCCACTATGATGTTGCCAAAGAACAAACCAGCGCACACCCACCAGTGCCAAAGGTGAATGAGGCAGACCTGAGAAGGTGCCATCTGTGCCCAGAGCCAGGGTTAAGCCAACCTGGGCTTTCTTCTTTAAAGGCAGAGATACCCCGGCCAAAGAGAAAAGATGGTCAGCCCTCCTCCCATAGGGTAGATCAAGGCTCTGGCTTCCTTGTCGTCTCAGTGGATCGAAGAGGAGGAGAATATAAGCATCTGAACTATGCATAAACACTGACCTTTAACAATGACCCTGCCCTCCAAGGAAAATGAGGTCCACTGAGCACCTCCGACAGTTTCTGGATTTGCCCTTCCTCCTTCCTTGGAGAAACACAGTGAGCAGGCAGAGGAATAGTCTGGGCATATAGGTGGAAGTCTTCTTCCCTATGAAGGCTGCTGAGGGGAGGAGCAGAGTCTTCTCTTCCCAGAAAAAGCATAAGTCAATGAATACTTATTGAGCACCTTCTGTGTATTCAGCCCTATGCCAGGTGTCATGGAAGAATCCAAAGGAAAGCTGAGCCTTACATGAAGAACAGGACACGCCATGTTAAGTGCCCATAAGGCAGAAGAAGGTGCATAGCACTGGGGGCAGACTGCACATAGTTCAACATTGCCCAGACCATGGGGTGCAGAAGGGTGAGGGAGGAAAAAAAAGGCAGGAAAGAGCCAAGAGCAGACACTCAAGGCCCTGTATGCCATGCGGAGGTCCACAGGCAGTGGTGGCCATGTAAGAATTTGAGGCTCCAGCTGAGCATCTTTCAAACCTGCCTTTCCCTGGTTTGCTTCTGCCTCACACTTTGAAAAGAGACATTTTTGTCCTGGTTGGTTGCTTCCTGTGACTGAGCCACATGAGGCTTGCAATTGGCCCCCTCTCTCATGGGACTTCCTGACAAAATGATCCACCTGCATTCTCTTTCATTTATCTCCCCTGGTGCCCAGAAATAATGGTGTGTTGTCAGGGAGTGTTTTTCCAGCCTGTTTGGAGGGAAGTTTCCCATCTGCCTAGAGCCCTCTGGGAACTCACTGATGCACCAACCTTCTGTTCTTATATAGAATTCCTACAGAGATTTCTTGTCAAGGTGATCCATAAAATCAAAACTTTGCCAGTGAAAAACAAAACAAAACCTCTACCAACAATAGCTGAGGCTGTGGGAGGAGTCACTTTCCAGTCTTAAGGTAGCTTCACCATGCAGAGGAAATTGACATTCTTGATTACTCTTTCCTTGTGAATTTCTTATCCCCCCTGCCGCCACAATGCCATGCACTCCTGCTCTCCTGCTTATCCAACCACATTTTGTAAATTCCCTTTGCTGCCTTCTCTTCTTCCAGCCCATTAACATCTCCCACAGTTCATCTTGGGTCCTCTTGATTCTTGCTGTACACACTATCCTTGGGCAAATGCTTCCATTCCTCGATCTTCAATCACCACCTATTCCCTCCAGCCTCAGAGTTCCTCAATTGTCCCTCACTGCCTGGAAATCTATATATCTGTAACTGAATGATCCACAAGTACCAAACATGCATTGCGTCCAAAAATCAACTTTATCAACTTATCTCCTGTACAGACTAGCTTCTTTTCCTGCACTTACCCAGTTACAATGGAAAGACACTAGTGACATCTTTAATGACTTCCCTCTCTCAAATACCCCCTACACATACATACAAACCACATATTAATATACCTACACATATTTCCCTGCACCCCCCAATTATCATACTGTTCCTGTGTTCCTCCCTCATTAACTCATGCCTCAACTATTTAAATCTGCTAAATACATTTCCTCTTTACTTCATCCTCCACCTCCCACCACAGTTGTCTTTCAAACACACAGATTTTATTACTTTCTTCTACACATTGCCTACAGGACAAAGCTCCTAAGCACAGCCACACTGCCTGGGTTATTGGGAAACTTTGAAGACACTGGTCACTCCCATTCTTCTGATGTTTTGCTCGTGCTCCCCGCTGTTCCCTATCTGCAAGCCTTCTCTTTAACCTTCACAGCCTAACCCAATGTTACCTCTTTTATGAAGCCTCCCTTAATTCCCTTTCCTATTTTTCAATTGATGTTTGTTTATAACTCTTTATAGATCCTAGCATAGTATATAAATAGTTTATCATTTGCATATTTATATTCCTCTCTCAATTGTGATCATCTAGATGAGGAAGATGTGTCTTTGGCCCCAGTACCCCTGATGCCTGCCACTGTATACCCAGGAAGAAGACTTGTTGAATGAATAAATATTATGATGAAACCATAAAAGCAAAAAAGATTAATGCAAACACGGGAGATCTATTACTTACCAAAGTGATTAGAATATCAGAATGGTATAGCAGAGTGGACTTTAAATTCTGGCTGTAACACTGACCAACTGTATGATGGCTGGGAGATTTCTTCCCTCTGAGCCTTGAATCTTCATCTGGAAAAAAAAAGAGATAAAAAGACCTCTTTGGTTTATTCTAAGGAATGGAAATGAGATATTATATATAAAATGCTCAGCATAGTAGCTAACACATAATCAGAACTCAATACATTATTTATACTACTGTTATTACTATTACATAAGAAGTTTAAGGAGGAGGATAGTAAGAGATAGTGTTAGGAAAAGAAGGTGAGTTCAACTTTATTTGCTAAACACACATTTATTTAGCACTAGTCAATGGAAGATATTAAATGCCAGATGAATACACCTCAATTTATAGAAAAAGGAGCAGATATAAACTCTCCCACCACTTCTATCAAGGTATGCTTTAACACCTGCATGAGTTTGCTAACTGAAATAGAGATGGAAAAATTAGAGCTGCCAGTGTAGGACATGAATGGCTAGACACAGAGTTGAGAACAGTTGATTCCCAAGGAGAAGCAGCATGCATGGTGATAAATAGGTTGATAGGAGAGACAGGAATTAAAGATGCCTCCAGAGATGGAGTTTTAGATCGCAGACTTACTAAGCATCCTGACACCAAGCACAGGTGTCCAACCAACCCAGGCTACCATGGGACAGAGTTTTGATGAGAGCTTGAAACTCAAGATATAAACTCGAGAGCAATGCTGATACCTTGGACAAGGATGAGTTCTCCTTACTTACCCATGTCTCAAATAACTTATGGTATAGTCCATGAAAACCACAGTAACCAGGAATCAAACTGAGCAACTTAAAACCAATGCCAAATCCAATTCTTGTTATCAGGATAGATGGAGGGAGAAAGTTTAATAAAACCCACCTTGAAAGGGAAAGGGTATGTGGGTTCATCCCACAGCCAGAGTGTTGATACCAACTAGAGTGGTGTGTTGCCATGACAGCAGTTGTCTAGTGACAAAAATTAATAATAAAAGAAGAGGGAAAAAGTGGGCAGGAGCAATAAATCAGGCCAAATATTCTGTTTTTTGCAAAGTTTCTCAATAGAGAGAGTGCTCTAGGGATGCATGTAATTTTTTAAAATCTCTCCCGCTCATAACCTTTTTCTTGGACAAAGAGACCTTTCAAAGAATTGTCCGATGCAAGGGATGGGAAAGGGAGACCAGGAATAGAATATCAGTGTTGTTCAGACAATTGATGCCAATGATCCAACATTCTGTGTTTCCCTGCAGAGTGATGCCAATGACCATCCAGTTCTCCATTCTGATTATGCTGCACTCGGCTCTGGTCCTCATCACCACAGCAGAGGATTATAAGTGTTTGCCCCTCATCCTCCGGAAAACTTGCTGTTGGATTAATGAGACTTATTTGGCCCGGAACGTCATCATCTTTGCATCTATCTTGATTAATTTCCTGGGTGCCATCTTAAATATCGTAAGCATCCCACATCCACCAACCTTCTGGTGTCTAGTGTGCAGTTGAGCATGAAGTTTATGGAGCCTGCAGCTTCCTGCATTACCCTTCCTTGGTACCAGTTACCTTTATGTGCCTGGTCTAGCCCCAAGCTTAGGGACAGATAACAAAGATGTGGCTATTGCCAAAACTGTGCATTTTACTGTTGGAAAATTGTCTATTTCCCAGTGGGATAGGTTATTTTCTCCAAAGGAGTTCCAAAAGCCCTTCAATTTCCATATTATCAGTGGCCAATTACATTGTAAATAAGAGTTACCATTTATCAAGTACCACTACCTACCTGCTATGTGCCATGCGCTGAAGGAGGACCTTTACATATTTTTCATATTTAATCCTCACATAAACCCCGTGAGGTAAGTTTCATTATCCCCACTTTATGGCTGAGGAAACTGAGGCTCAGAGACATGAAATAACTTGCTAATAAGTTCTGTCTGACTCCATGACCTTCGCCCTTCTAATATGCTAAATTGTATCTCTGGGAGTGGGAGTGGGGTGGGGGAAATGGAAATGAAATAGCTGCCATTCATTGAGCACCTACTATGTGCTACAGGTAGGTATTATTGTCCCCATTTAATGGATGAGGAAACTGCATTTCAGGAAAGCTGAGTATCTCGCCTATGACTTTCTAAGAGTTTGTATTTCACGTGACACATAGAACTCAGATGAATTTCCAACTGCCATGATATTTATCACTGTTTAATTTGCTGATCCACATTGTCATGGTTTCATTTTCTCTTGAGAATTGTACCATGGTAGCTATAGGTATTTTCTGTACTTTTACAAGTAGTCTGTGTTGTCCATGACTCAGGCAGCTAGATTTTTCAGGTGATTTGTTTGGTTCCATGTCTTAAACTTGGCATGTTGAGAGAGGCTAGTTGAGGCATTGTCATGTGGTTGAATCCATCACTCTGTCCTTTGGGCCTGAGTGAGGGTCCCCAAGTGTTCAGGGACCTAAGCTATGGACTCCCACAATTGTTGGCCTGTGACTTAGAGGGCTAGACTGCCTGAAATCACTGTCCAATTTGGCCCAGTAATTACTTAAGTTATGTGGTTGTCCTTCTAGTGAAGGCTCTATGGATAAAGGAAAAGAGGAAAAGGAAAATTATCATCTAATTTAATTCATTATCTAATGAATATTTTATAGATTATGATAACTGAAATGGAAGTACATGGGATCAATTGATCACAGGCTGCAGAGAAGTAGCCAGGACCTCAAATTAAGTCTTGATAAAAAATTAGATATTTCAGGGGTGCAGAATTTGTAAGTAAGCCCAATGACTCTAGGTCAGGGTTACCTCTGGGGCCAAGTGCCTCAGTGGGTAGTGTGGTAAGAAGATCAGAGGCTTTGGAGTCAGATAGACCTGTGTTCAAATCTCAGATCCACCAGTCACCAGCTCTGTGACCCTGGACAAGTTACTTTACTTCTCAGAGTTTCATATTTTTCAATTGTAAAATGGGGATTAAAAACAGCAGCTACATCACAAGGTGGTTGTGAGGCTTTTTTGTACAAAGTGTCTGGCACAGAGGAGGCATTTGGCCAATGGTAGTTACTCTTTTCCTAATACCACAAAATCTCCTGCAGCAACTTCTGTCCTAGGAAATGCCCATCACCCCAGTGCTAAGAATCTTTCTGGCAAATGTACCCCTTCAGATTCTTCAAGTCCTCCCAGCTGTTGATCTGGAGGACAGGCTATGAGTTTACCCGAGACCTCTTCTCCTGCCATCTGGCTTTCTCTTCTGAGCTCCACAAGCACACTCCAGTGACCCCAAATGATGGGGCCAACAGAGCAGTCTAAACTTAGTTTCATGACTGGCTTACGGAAGCTGTTTCTGAGCAAGCACTTGTTTTTTAAATACAAGAAATCAAAGCTGGCACTTTGGCACTTCCATTCTGACTTCAAGTCCCCTCTAAGGTTCAGTCTACCTGTGCTGAAGCACGGCCACTGATAGCACACTGCTCCATTTCCAGCACTCACACTGACTTTGTTGTTCCTGTTTTTGTTTTTGTTGTTCTTTTTTTTAATCCGCAGCTGTGGTGTGATTTTGACAAGTCGATACCCTTGAAGAACCTGACTTTCAATTCCTCAGCTGTGTTTACAGATATCTGCTCCTACCCAGAGGTATTTATTTACGAGCTCCCGTTGGTGAGAGTTGGACATAGATATATCTCTACCAGCTCTAAATAAACAAGACTGGCTGAAGGGCCATAGAAAGTACTTAAGAGGCCTGTTTTCCTTCTTCTGCCTCTTCTTCTTTCCTTTTTCTTCTTCCCCTTTTCTGCGTTTCCTTCTCCCCTTATATTTTCTGTTTCCCAGTCCTCTTTCCTGCTCCCTCCTCTGCCTCTTTTCCATCTTTACACCTTCCTCATTTCTTTCTCCCTCTTTCTCCTCCTTTTCTTCCTTTTCACCTTTCCTTCTATCCGTTTTCCATTTGCCCTTATCTCTTCCTTCTCTATGCATTTCTCCTAGCTTATTTGTAAAATCCTGTAGCAGAATGCACTGTTATCTCCATTAGCAGGCAGAGTTCTTTCTCAAACAGTGTTTGCTGCATTAAGGAAAGAGGTGGGGAGGGAGGGAATGAAGGAGCGAAGGAAAGAAGGAAGGAAGGAAGGAAGGAAGGAAGGAAGGAAGGAAGGAAGGAAGGAAGGAAGGAAGGAAGGAAGGAAGGAAGGAAGGAAGGGAGAGGAGAGGAGAGGAGAGGAGAGGGAGGGAGGGAGGGAAGGAAGGAAGGAAGGAAGGAAGGAAGGAAGGAAGGAAGGAAGGAGGAAGGAAGGAAGGAAGGAAGGAAGGAAGGAAGAAGGAAGGAAGGAGGGAGGGGAGGGAAGGAAGGGAAGGGGAAGGAAGAGGGAAGGAAGGGAAGGGGAAGGAAGGAGAAGGAAGGAGAAGGGAAGGAAGAGGAAGGGAAGGAAGTTGAAGTGAAGGAAGGAAGGAAGGAAGGGAAGGAAGGAAGGAAGGAGAAGGGAAGAAGGAAGGAAGGGAAGTTGAAGAAGGAAGGAAGGAAGGGAAGGAAGGAAGGAAGGAAGGAAAGAGGGAAGGAGAGAAGGAAGGAAGGGGAAGGAAGGAAGGCGAGGGAAGGAAAGAAGGAAGGGGAAGGAAGGAGAGGGAAGGGAGAAGGAAGGGGAAGGAAGGAGAGGGAAGGGAGAAGGAAGGAAGGGGAAGGAAGGAAGGGGAAGGAAGGAATGAAGGAATGGGAAGGGAGGAAGGAAGGAAGGAAGGGGGAAGGAAGAGGAAGGAAGGAGGAAGGAAAGAAGGGAGGGAATTACAAAGGCAGAAAATTACAACTAAACTTAAATGGTACAGAGAGTGCCAGAAGCACCATGTAGTCTGGAGGCATCCCAACAGGCCACCTATGATCATAATGTGTGTGTGTTACTCTACGTTGACCACAGAGCCAGTGGTCTGTTTCTGGGCCTTGGGGTCAGCCTATGGGGTCTGTTATTCACAACCCAGACCTTCACATATTAGGGTAGACATTCTGGGTCATAAAGTAGAACAGCTAAGATGTCCCAGCAGACCCCAGCCAACCCCATACCTAGGACTCTGGGTAGATTCTTGTTCTCTGAGAGGTTGCCACACTCAGAAGCCCCTCCAACATATGAATGGAGAAAAGGCTCCCTGTAGTCTCTTCTAGGTCTAAGAATTGGTCCCAGAAACATTCCAACAAGGAGACCAAGCTTCCTCTCCCTCCATCCATTTGCATAGAGCACCTGCTTGATATGCATAACATCATCAAATCCTTCAGATGTCTGGGATAGAGGCTATTACTGTCTCCATGTTATAGATAATAAAACTAGAGCTCAGAAAGCAGCTTGCTCAGTGCTGCTTAGGGCCACACTTGCCTGATCTTATTTCTTCCTCACTTCTTTCCTTCCCTTCTTCTTTCTGTCCTTCCTTCCTTCTCTTTTTAAGTCTATTATCAAGCCTTGGTACTATAATTTGAACCATATCTACCTTATTCTTTATCTGGCCTAGTCCCTAGAGGAGAAACTAGACTCTACTAAGGATATGCAGGACAGGATGGGACTTAGTCCCGTTTAGGGGCTACATTGGCCAGACCATGTGCCCTGGGACTTCCTTCCACCTAGGAATGAGTGGAGCCCCAGCTTAGTGTACTCTGTGGGACAACGGCTCCCTGAGAAATTCTTGGTTTAAGGGGCTTAGGAAACATCTCAACTTTTGGACAGAGTAAGTGGCCCGGAATTGGAGAGTCAGAGCTAGGCAAAAGCTGTATTTCATTTCCAATTAAGCTCCCTCACTTGCTAGCAGTGGAACCTTGAATCAGTTCTTACTCTCTCTGAACCTCAGTTTCCTCATCTGTAAAATGGGAAAATTTATACCTTCTTTACATGACTACCGTGGAGTTAAACAATATGTTCTCATGGTGGCTGCCTAGATGGGTTAGCAAATATTTAGCTCCTCACATGGCATCTGACATGAAGCAGCTATTTATCTGTGCCCACACATCACTTTGAATTAATATTGTATACCCTTGACCCAACACCTGAACCCCCAAACACAAGACTACAGCACTCAGAGATTAGCCAAATCCTAAGAAAGTGGTGGGTAAGATTTTTGATCACACAGCTTTATTTCAGTGCCTCAGTTTCCTTATCTGTAAAATGGGGATAAAAGTAGGGTCTTCCTTATTGGGTGATTATGATAATTAAGTGAATTAATCCATTTAAAGTATTCAGAAGCCATACCTGGCACAAAGTATCTGCTCATTAAATGTCAGCTATGATTTATTTATCATTTTCAGCAAAAAGGCTTTGAGCATGTAATGCCAATGTATGTTATCATCAAACAAACACCTGTACATACCTGAACAACCGTGTGTAACATACTAGTGTATGTTATGAAAAACACTCAAAAATAGAAATGTTTAGAAGTGAGATAAAATGAATATGGATTGATGTTACCATTTTCTCCACAATGAAAGGGTCATCTTATTCAGGAGGTCAGCAAACTATGGCCACAGGCCAAATTCACCAGCTGCAACAACCACCTGATCTGACCCACCGTTTGCCATTCTGATACATGTATGTATGTGTGTGTGTGTGTATATGTGTGCATGTGTATGTGTGTGCACACGCTTCACTGACTAGGCATTGCCAAACTAAAATGGATTAGATATTCAGACCTTCTGAAAGACTTAATCCAACTCCCCAGCACTCACATACTCACAAGTATGTGTCCCCAAGCAAACCACTTCATCTTTGTGAGCCTTGGTTTCTTCAAATGTATACCTGACATTTCTGCCTCACCCTATGAGAAATAATATCCAGTCCAAAAACATGTTATCAAACAGGATGATGTAATATAAAAAATGAGGCTTTTACAATGTATGATATAAAGTATAATTTAGTTCTAAATTCAAAGCTTGTCAGATGCTAAAAAAAGAGCGAAGACGCTGGGAATGAAAGTGAAGAAAGCTATATTCCAGTCATGGTTGGAGAGTAGTCGAGGAGAAAGAAAGGCACAGGATTGTGAAATGAATGCAAATCACATGCACAAACCCAGAGTGTCATTATCTCAAACACCTGGATGTGGTTCTCAGGAGACTCAGTAGGAAGACCCTAATTTTAGAATCACGCCCCTTTATTATATGCTCTGGCACATCTGAATAAACAGTTCACTGTATCTGCAAGAGCAGAGCTTTCTATGGTTTTAAAGGGTCCTGAAGAGCCCATTTTTCCATAGAGATGTGATCGTCTGTGTCTTGGCATGCTGGCATTTCCTTCCCTTTCTTTTCCATTTATTCAGGTCCTGCCCAGCCTTCAAGCCTCCCTTTTTCCATAATGTGGTTTGGCTGGCCCAACTCCTTCAGCACTCTCCTTCCTGCCATCTCACATACCCTTATGGTGTCATCTTAGCACTCACACTCCATCCTTCCTACCGTTGATTTATTTATCTAGGACATCCTTTCCATCCTCTCAAATTTATTGACTTAAGGAGTGAAGATAATATTGTAAAGCTATTCAATATTGACCGAAGGGCCCAGCAGGACAGGCCCCACAATGTGTGTTTTAAAATATTTAAAGAGAAAGGAAGCATTCTTCCAATAGACTAACAGGAACAAGATTTACCTTTCCATCTGAAATAACTAAAAACAAACAAAATATATGAAACAATAGTTTTCAAGGCACTAGGCATCAGTCAGTGAAGGACAATAATCCTGAAAGACAGGAAGCAAGAGATTGCCTGAGCTTTATTATTGCTTTAAGAGAGTTTTTAGACTATGGCTCAGGAAGAGGAAACTAAGGTGGACTCCCTGATTTCAGAATACTAAGCTGAGAGTCCCGGGAGACCGAGGTGGCTAGAGTCTGCAGAACACACTACTCTAGGGAGTTGCATAGAGAGAAAAACCTAGAGATCTGAAAAGGGTTCAATCAGTGCATGCATGTGAGGAAACTGACATGGCAAAAGAACCATCTGGAAGGATCAGTGCCTGGAACTCACACAGAGCTGAGAATAATTTTGTTCCCACCAGTCAGACTGAAAAAGATTCTTGGGGTACTAGGTTAGAGTATTCAGAAAAGTCTTGCTTCAGTAGAGTAAAATAATTGTTGCTACATCATATGCTTCTCTGATTCTTCCTTTAAAATCTTAAAAGTTAGATCCAAAGAGATCAAACCTTTTAAAATAATTTAATATGTGTCCTAGAATAAATTTCAAGAATATTCATAGGAATACAAAAATAGCTAGGATTTAACAAGGTAAATACACAATGTCTGGCACCCAATCAAAGATTACCAGGCATCAAAAGGAGAAGGAAAATATGACTGATAACGAGGGGAAAAATGTCAACCAAAAAAGACCAATTCAGATTTGACTGTGTATATTTGAATTAGCATTTTTTTTTTTTTTTGACAGAGAGTCTCACTCTGTTGCTCAGGCGGGAATGCAGTGGTACAACCCTGGCTCACTACAACCTCCACTTCCCAGGTTCAAGCAATTCTTGTGCCTCAGCCTCCCAAGTATCTGGGACTACAGGCATGCACCAACATACTGAACTAAGCTTTTTATTGTCATTATTTTTAGTACGGATGTGGTTTTTCCATGTTGGCCAGTCTGGTTTCAAACTCCTGGCCACAAGTGACCCACCTGCCTGGGCCTCCCAA